TGTCGTACTGATTCAGGCAAGTTTTGTCTTTTTATGTCACAGACGAGGCACCGACGAGGTATATGAATAGACCAAGCATCTTACGGGCATTGACTAACTTGCAATGCAATGTTACGGGGTTTTGTGACCTGAAATATCGACATAGTAGAAAATGACTGGTTTTTTTTTAGCGCATTCTACGTTTAAACAACGGTAAATTGGGGAATTACATCAAATAAAACGATCGAAGTTGGTCAAGTAGTGAATGCTCCAGCAACATGATTTCTGAGAAATCTGAAGCTAGTAATTAACCGAAATCATTCTATTGTATTTGAGAAAGAGCTTTATCCATGTTTTACGGGTCACAATTTTTCTCAATATATAGTAAATTTTAAATCAGTTGCTTCCTCACGTTTCATCGATTAAAACTGAAACACAAATATGCTTACTTGGCTTTCCAAAATTTGACGAAAACCTAAGGGTCGATTTTGGGCTTGAAATTTGGGCTAGGAAATCAGAAAGTCATAATTTCGACGCACAATCTAGTAAAGGAAGTTCTTCGTCAGTAAGAGTTCAACGGAAGACCGGATAGATTCTTCTTCTTTCGTCCGTGCGTTCGGGAAAAGGAAAAGTATTTACGTTCTTTTCTCCATTCGCAATAAAAGAAAATTTCTCATTAATAAATTAATATATTCTCATTAATAAATTTGAAGATAAGAATTTTATTCATGGATGGACCAACATAGTGTCGTCGTTTTACAATGCGCCATCAGAAAAACTTTGGGCAATCAATTATGGAAAAACAGCTGATTGTCGAAGTTGAAAATCTCACGAATTATCTTCGTCATGCCAGTGCCAAAGATCCAGTATCAATGTATACAGCTTTTGACATTGCAGTTCTGAATTCTCTCTGGTGTATGTTCGCACAGGTTTGATTATGAAAACGAGAAACTCGTAGAAATTCTCGAAACTGTTCACGATGCCTTCAGGTAATTATAAAAAGTTTCTTCTTTTAATATCATCACATTTTAATTAACAATGCATAAAGTGCATGTTAGATGCAATTTGCATCTTTATGCGGATCATATACACTTCTTCCCATTGATTGATGGACACAATGGGCGGCATTGTTTCGCAAATGCCATTTCTACGCTTCATAATACTAGAATTATCTGGTTACAATGATTTAATGAGAATAATTCAGAAGCTTTGGGGTTTCCTAGACGAAGAGATTAACATCCATGAAAGACAACTGTCCGAGAATCAGCCACATTTGGTTGATCGATATTTTTCTTTTAGAGATTTCCTCCAAAAATACGAAACGAAGTGATTCCATTTTTGATCGTGAGTAACTTTTTATACTTGTAGAATTAAAAAGTAATATTCCATCTGTTATCAAATAGTAATTTAATTGTTTAAAAGGAGAAAACTTATTGGTTCTATGCCTGGACTTCTTCTTAACTGGCTCGAAGACTACGACAGATACGTTAACTACTACTTTCTGTTTTTATT